GGGGGGGGGGGGGACAGGGTTGAAGCACGAGGCTAGCCCGAATACTTGGGGAGGGTCTCTGAAAAGGATTCTACTACTTTTTGTTTTTATTAGGTCCCCATGTTCTGACACTCATGTTGAAGTGTTGGGCGCGGCTAAACCTTATCTGCTTCAAAGCGAAAACTGGGCAATTCATAACACCTTTACTGACCCTTTCTAAAGCACTTCTAAAACACTGTGAGGAACCCTAGAGGAATCCATGGACAACCGGATCTCCCCGCCTTGTCGCAAGCTGCAGCACTTGCCTTGGCCTGGCACATGGGGAGCTTCGGGTTAACTTTTAGGGTTTAGGGTTTAGGGGTTTAGGGTTTAGGGTTTCCTACCGTTGACGCAGGAGCCTTGAAGATAGTACCCGGGCCTAAACTATAGGGTGCTGGCATCGTTCATGGCGTAATTGCTTGGCCTCCAAAAATGTGCATGCTTCGGTAGCTCTACTTAGAGGTTCATGGGTAGTTATAAGTGGGGTTATAAGACCCCTAATATGGGCTATAATTATAGTTACCCTAATCAAAACCCTACTTACTAAGTCCCACGTTCGTTTCAGTACAGAGCCTTCAACCATCCCCAACCCCTGCCTCCCAGAAGTCTTCAACCACAGCAGACCTCTTGACACCTTGTAGGATGCGCCACTACATCCCTCAAACTGAATAAGGCGAAGCTACAAAGCCACGGTCTTAAACCGAAAAACCTTGTGAAGACATGTAGCAATACCTCTGAGACTTTAATCACCACGAACATGTGCATAAAACCTTACAGAACGATATTATTTCATAAACAATCTCTGGGAGTCGAGCGCCTACGAGACCGCCGCGTAAAGCCCCTGTACAAACCAGGTAGGAGTCTTCTGAGCCAACCTTACTTGGAAGTTCATGGGTAGCTAGAAGTCGGGTTATAAGTAGGGTAACTCTCATTAGAACCCATATTAGGGGACTTATAGCCCTACTTATAACTAGCCATGAACCTCCAAGTATCAACCCCCTGAACTGAACCCTGAACACTTACATTCAGCGGATAGACCCCAAGCCCTAAACCCTCAACCCGCTGGGAGTCGTCCGCTAAGCCCTGGACCCATACCCTAAGGCTCCATGTATGTATAGGGTATGTACTCAGCCCTTGCCTCAAAGTACCTATGTAGGAAACCAATTAAATATGCTGGATGGATAAATCTAGCCATGGAGCCTCAGGGAAACCATACCGCAATGATAACCTTAAACCAAACCAACCCTAAACCCTGAACCCTATATCTAAAAACCGGGTGGCCCTAAACCCTATACCCTAAACCTGGCCTCCAAGAGACACTGCAGACTTTTCAGTTGCCCGGCCATTGCCGCTGCATGAAGGGGCGTCCTCTGAACTTCAAGGGTCGCAGAGTGGCGCTTTAAGGGTGTACAGGGTTCAGTAGGGCTTAGGGGTTTAGGGTTTAGGGTTTAAGCTTTAGTTAGTGTTTAGGGTTTAGTAGGGCTTAGGGTCTAGGGTTTCGGGCTTTGGCTTTCGATAGGGTTTTAGGGTTTGGGGCTTACAGCTTAGGGCTTGGGGCTTAGGGTTTAGGGCTTAGGGCTAGAAGCCCGGATCTAAACACCCTCATGGAACCATACTTGGAGGCTCATGGGACTTAGTAAGTAAGGTTATAAGTCCCCCAAGTGGGGTTATAAGTATAGTTACCTCAGTTGTAACCCTACTTACTCAGGCCCATCATCCTTTAAGCAGAGCCCATAGCCCATACCCTTGTAGAGCCTAGGCCCTACACTTAAAGGACACAGGGCCCTTAACCAGTCCCATGATCCTTTAAGTAATCCTGAATCCTCTCAGTCTCAAGGTACCTGAGGCCTGGAAGCTCCTAACTCCGAAGCCCCCTGCCTCCTAATGTAGGGGCCTTAATAATTAGAATAGGGTTTTGGGCTCCTTTATAGTATGATGATACTAAGGAACCCTAAAGAATACGTAGAATTGGTAATTATTTAGGCTTCTGTAGTAACTCGTAAATCCTCAATGCTCAAACTCTATAGTCTTAAACTCCTAACCCCTAAACCCTGATAACTCCAAAACCCCAAACCCGGATACCTCCTGAACCCATAACCCTGTAGCTCCTAAAACCCAAATCCTGATATCTCCTAACTTCCACACTCCGAAGCCCGCAGGTACAATAGAGGCTTTAATGATTAGGATACGGTTTGGGGGGTATATAATAATTGGTATAAGGAACCCTTCAACATAGCATGGTTAGTCATTAAGGCCCCTACATTAGCATGGAATTGGAAGCCTTGCCAACACACTCAGAACACACGAGAGTGGCATGGCAAGAGGTGGTAGAACAAGTGTTTAGGGTTTAGGGTGCCACCTCTGCACAACGTACGTATATACAGGACCCACAAGACTCAAGGGGCTCCCTATGCATGCAGCCTCGCACAGCGTGCTACAAAGATTTTGGGTGCTCAATAGCCGGCAAAAAGCTGAGGTGGAATGCAATACTTTCGGATAAAGCCAAATTGCGCTAAACCACCAAATCACGGAGCATTCCTCAGACAAATGCGTGCTGCCTCGTTTTGAATATCTGCGTGCTGCCTCAACTTCTCCTTGGACCGTGAAGCGGAATGCACAAATCTTTGTAGCACGAAAACCGAAGCAGCATGCATAGGGAGGCCTTTGAAAGACCGGGAAAACCGGTCTACTCCAAACCCTAAACCCTGGGCCCTAAATCCTAAACTCCAATTCCTAGACCCTTCAAACCCTAGACCCTTCAAACCCTAGACCCTTCACTCCAAAAGTCCAGACCCTAAACCCTAAACCTTAAACTCTGAAACTCCAGACCCTGAACCCTAATCCCTAAACTCCTAAATTCCTAAACCCTAAACTTCAAGACTCCAGAACCCAGACCCTAATCCCTAAACTCCTAAACCCTAAACTTCAAAACTCCAGACCCTAAACCCCAATCCCTAAACTCCGAAACCCTAAAGCCTATATTCAAAAAACCTCCAGTCCTCTGCTCAAAGTCAGCCTTTTCCATGGATGCGCGATGGTTCAGGAGGACTTTGATGATGTGCACTGTGCCTGGCAAAAGATTAGGGTTGAGGGTCTTGGGGTTTTGGGTTTAGGGTTCAGAGGATGTTGAGAGATTTAGGGGTTTAGGGTTTGATGTAGACTCTTTCCAAGTGTTCCGTCGACATCTTGCAGTGGTTCCCGCACAAAACTTCGCGAGTCGTTTCAATCCTAACCCGAAGCACTGAACAAACACAACCGACACCCAAAGCACCGAACACAACTGAATCCCTCACACTGATATGCGTGATCGCTCGGGTTATCTCTTAGGTCTAGGTATGTCTAGACAGCTCCAGCATATGGCGAAAGACATCGTCATCAGAAGGGGCGGCTGGTGCTTCTGCCTCTTCAACTGATCCCCTACTCCCGTTGCCACCGCAGCAGCAGCAAGACGACCAACACCAACAACAGGGCCACCGCCAACACCACCACACCAGCACCAACACTAGCACAACACCAAGAACAGCACCAACAACCCAACACCAGCACCAGCACCACCACCATCACCGCAACGACGACGACGACGACGACGAATGGACAAAGCGTTACTGCTACACTGCTGGTACTGCCGATCTAGTAATTGTAGCAGCTGTTGCCAGCGTGACAATAGCAGCGTTAGTCTTTACAGAAGTATCACACTAGATTCTCGACGGAGTGGCAGCAAAACGAGGATGGCGGGTAAACCCGACTCCCAAAACGCTACAACCCCAAACCCCAGTCACCCGCAACCCCTTGAGCCTGACTGTCGCCCTAATGCCTAAACTTAAAACCAAGGTTTAGGGTTTAGGGTTTAGGGTAAATAAAACCCTTAGAGACCCTAAGAAGAAAACTAAACCCATGATAGTTACTCGCCAATCTACTGAGAAGCTACAATGATGTCCAATGAAACATGAGAACATACTATGATTCGCTATGATGTTAAACAATATATCCATAACATACCCTAAATATCATACTGTACTATGGTAGAATACAAAAATATGCCACACTATATTGTGATATGCTACTATATAACCACAATATACTATAATATGCGTTCATAACCACAATATACTGGCGCATGGGTAGTTCTCTAAATTAGGGTCCCTTTTTTAGGGCCCCAATATAGTACGGTACCGTTATAACAAAGACCCCGAAAGGGACCCTGGTTTAGAGAACTACCCACATACTACAGTTGCTGACATAAATCCTGCAGTACCCATAATGAAGAATATACCATAGTTCCCATAGTCTAGGGTCCGTAAGGTAATGCAGGATTTATAATATATCATCAACAGTAGCACCCTCCAGCACCCCTTGGCCTTTCTGAGCCGCAAGATGCATGGCCGTGAGGCCCTGACAGCCGAAGCGGTCGTCCAGGCGTTTCCTGGGGTTCTTCGCGATATGTTTCGGGTTTAGGGGTTTACAGGGTTCAGGGTT